AAACAAACGAGTTTTAATTGCTACATCTCTAATATAATCATACCGTTATCAATAAATTTTTTATTATCACTACAACTTAATTCCTAATCAAGACAATGACAATGACCTTAAAATATATTGACCACTAAAATTTTAAAATTTAGAATTAAGACACAAATTATTAAATCTTAAGAGTCAATTTATTGACCTTTATAATGATCACACATGTAGGGTAGGCATTGCCGTGTTGCGCCATGCCACAAAAGAACCACGTTGCCCTACCATGTTGTAGACTAATGGTATGGCAGAATGGTAGGTCTGCTGGCTTCAGGCGGTAATTGGTAATTTGTTATGGCTATCATCATGCCTCCCAAAATCATTTATTATTTTTATGGACAAGATTTGTTCCCAACCAAACCAGTGTCTATCACCTTTTCCCCTTTTTATGGCATATTAAAGTTAAAGACTTCCTCTCTCTCAACCCTTTTTAGGTCTCCCTGCCTTCCTGCCTCCCTCTCCTGCCTCCTCCTCCTTTTTACTTCTACCACATTCCTCACCCTACCTCTAGCTTTCTAGCTCCCTCTCTACTCTTCAGCTCCACAACACATCCCTCAAAGTCTCCATTATCTTACATCAAGCTTCATCACAACCCCTAAGAGCCACCCTGAAAGTCTCAATCACAAACACTAACTACTACCAAGTTACAAGCGACCATCTTATCTAGCCCTCCAATTTTGATTTCGGCCTAGATGGATACAATCTCTATCATCACAAACCAATGTCTAGTTCAAGAAGACAAACAAACCTAGATTATAAATAAAAATGGAAACAAATGGGTGGAGAAGTTCCTAATTGATAGTCGCATTCATTTTATGTGTGTATGTTTTTTTAAAATTTCGGTAACCCAGATTTGCTATTGGGAATTTCTGAGATTAAAGTTATCCGTAGACATTAATATGATAATTAACAGTACAAACATTTCATTACAAAAAATTTTGTCAAGTTATTGATTTCCAAAACTTGCTGTCGGACACGGTATTTACCGATAGGACGCGTTGCCCAACAATGCCCACCCCTGCCCTACGCGTAGGTAGGAACAATACTCCTTGTATCTTTTGTAATAGTCTTGTAAGTGTCGGTATTTTCATGGCCCATTTTTACATATGATGCAACTGTTTAAAGGTTGGATTAATTGTGGTTGAATTTTACTTTTTAAATAAGTATAATTTGAGGTAGGAAATTGAGAATTGTAACATGATATTTTTATAATTTTAATTTTAATTATTGTTAATATATTAAATGTATTTATTAAGTGATTTATAAAATTTAATTTAATTGTGAGTAAATTTAAAATTTGAGAGATTTTAAACTTTTAATTTGATTATAAAATATGAATTTTATACTATCTTAAAAGTCATTGAGTTAAAAATATGTACTTTTCAACTCATAAATTATATTTAAATTTATATTTTATTTTAAATTATCCTTGTAAAAAATCATAAAATATCAATTTCAATTAAAAAAAAATATTTTTTATACTATTATCTAAATTGGTATCAATCTGGAAATGCTTCAAATAACTTCAGTTAGAAGGAAAAGAATGTTACGTAACTTTCAAATTATCAATCATTAGGTGTCATCATATTTCCCAAAAAATGGAAAAAATTCCTCGAGACCAATTGTAGGAAAGCGAAACTCGAATGGCAAATATGTAACATAAAGTGAAAACAATTGGTAAAGGTAGAACCCCAATTTGTAGTTGACTGATTTAGTTGGAAAAAAGAAAATAACGAAAACAATGGGAAGACGATAAAAAAAAAACTCCATCCCATCATTTTTTTTATAAAAAAAAAATTAATAAACTAATATTATTAAATATTAAAATAAAAAT